CGGCTTCAAAAACATGAACATAAAAAATAAAAGAAATGAACGCACGCGCAGAAGACAATGGCATGTGATGGGTATTAACATTGCAGGAAATGGAAATCTCAGTGTGTCCGGAGCTCAGCCTCTTACAGAACCCAGGTCGGGCTCGCGCTTCCGGGACCAAGCCCGTTATGAAGAGAACCCCGGGACATTAACAACGAGAAGGAAGGGCTGCTTCTCCCGCCATAAGGAGGACATGAGGAGGAAACTAGACAAGAGAGGAGAGTAAGACGTTGTTAGGACAGATGGCAGGTTGAAAGGACATCAGGACATTGATTACGATAGGACCGAGAACCTAATTTGAAGTGGGAGCACGAACTGCTGAAATTCGAAAAGAAAATGGATGCACTTAAAAAATAAAAAAAAATAGTACTTGTACATGTTGAGCAGGGATGTAGACAGACAAGATCTTCTGCTAAAAGAAAATGGATGCACTTTAAAAAAAAAAAATACGTGTACATGTTGACCAGTGATGTAGACAGACAAGATGTTCTGCTGAGGCAGACAAGATGTTGGGCCCCTAGATGAGCCATCGTTTTCACGTTCTCAAAATTGGCCAAGTGTGCGTGAATGCGCGTGTTTACTTGCGTGTTTTGTGTTCTCTTTTTTCTTTTCGAGGACAATAACTCCATTCTCTTTTCTTTTCTTTTAGTAGGACCACGTCGTTTTCCTTTCTTTTTTTTTTTCTTTTTTTTTTAAGCATGAGCATCACCTCCTTTTTTTTTGTTTTAAGGAGCAGCAGCACGACTTTGGGACGCAGTTCCGTCAGGCTTCCACCGACACATCCGAGGTTGGGACCACGGCAGTCTCCCCAAGACGTAATCTGATCGTCGACTGGCGCAAAGTTAACCATATCCTTAAGGAGAACTGATCAATATTACTCAGATAACCTTTGCAATACTGCCCAACTACGCGGTTCATACAAAGGTGCAGAAAAAAACAGTTCGGCAGGTTCGCGGTTTGCAGGGGAGGGGGGGGGAGGGGAGAGGGATGGCGAAAGGAAATAAGCCCTGCAAAGTACCATAACTATAACAGCATCATAAACCACCATCCTTCCCCCCTCAATACCACGAACTCAGCCAAAACGACACTAGAGCGACAACCGCCCCGCGACCGTAGACCCATTCTTCCGCCTTCAACGGACAACTACCGTCTTCACCCGAATAGAACGCCCGGTCATTACAGCTGTATTTGGTGCAACTTTCAGTCCAGATACGGCGATGATAATTACCCCGGCGTTCTGTTCGGGTGAAGACAGTAGGGAGGTCGTGTCGAGCAGACAGGACGCTTGGGTTCACTGGCTGAATGAATTGCTCGCAGCCGCGGACAATCGATGGGAGTCATTACAGTAATAGTAATTGTCACGCACAAGGGTGGAAGAGAGACAGAAGGGAAGGCAGCCAACATGGGGTTTGACGCCCGAGTACAGGTCTAATGCAAGTTGGCTGCCAGCATGCGTGCCACCAGATGGGTGGGCCGATGCCAGCACACAGCGATTTCATTCAGCCAGAGAGTAAATAGGGCACACCTGTTCAGTTCAGGCGCTAAGGATTTCCGTAAATGCGTGCGGTCGTGAGTACAGCGAGCGGAAAGAAATTTAGAGACTATACGAGAGGCAGTATCACCACCGACGACCAGCAGAATGGCGGACAGACCCCAGTGATATGCCAATCAATCATAAGCGCACAGATTCCCAAAGCGACTTCCTCTTTTGGGTCATCGACGACCCAAAAGAACGCAGGTTCGAGACCCGCGATCTGTGTGCGGGTTCGAGACCCGCACAGATTCCCAAAGCAATTGGGAATCGCACGATCCAAAAGAACGCAGTTTCGAGACCCGCGATCGCCAGATCGACCATAAACGCACACAGAGAGAGTTCAAAAGCGATTTTTCCTCGTCATCGACAGTCGGGGCAACGTAGGATCGAGACCTGAGATAGGCAAAGATCAAGATCAATTGCAAAAACCGACAGATAGCAAAAGCAGTTTCGTCATCAACGACAACCAGGGCACAGG